CACGGGGAGAGGGAGGAGGAGGAGGAGGAGGAGGAGGAGGAGGAGGAGGAGAAAAGGAAATGGAAGAAAAAAGAGAGAAGGCAAAGAAAAAGAAGAGGACGAAGAGAAAAAAAAGACAAAGCTGGAAACGAAGATGGAGACGAAGGGGAAGAAGAAAAGTAGAGAAGGAAGTAGAAGAAAGAAAAGGCAAACAAAAAAGTAAGAGGAAGAGAGGAGAAAAAGAAGGACGAGCTGGAGGTGGACGAAGATTATAATAGTAACGATGATGAGGACTGAGGATGACGATGTGGTGATGATGATGACGATGATAATAAAAATATGATAATATGATGATAACGATAATGATAATGATACTATGATGATAATATGATGCTGATGATGACGACGATGATGATAATGATGATGACGATAACGATGGTAATGATTTCACGACGACGACGACGACGAAGAGGAGGAGAAAAAATAATAAACAAGATAAAAAGAAGAAGAAAACTCAACCCAGGAAAAGCGAAATGTAAGCACGAGATCCAGAAGCCGGCGCTCAAAAAACGGTCCGCCTCAGCACAGGTAGCCGACGTGCTCTTACCTGGTCTGTAATAACAAGGTCGTGAGACTGAGCAAGGAGGATGACTCAGTGTTGCTAGCTTCTCCGCCGCCCCTTCTCCCTCTACTCCCACCTCTCCTCTTCTCTTCCCTTCCCTTCTCTTCTTTGCTCTTCTCTTTTATACTCCTCTCCCCGGCTTCCCTCCCTTCCCCTTTTAACTTATTTTCCTTTCCCTCTTTCACCGTCCGCCATTTGCGTGGAATGGCCTGTCTACACCTTGTACGACACGAACATCGCTCTACAAACTCATTAAAAAGGATATGCTCCGTCCTCGCCATTTTTTTTTTCTTTCTGCCGCACTTACCCGGTGACATCTGGCATTTGGCGCCATGTTTACAATACCCGTGCCATTGTAATTGCCGCCTTGTCTTGTACCGGCAAGGATGTTTTCATTCCAAACTTCCCGCCCGAATTTCCACTCCCGACAAATCACCCTCAACGAGCCGCCCAGACATCTCCCCGCTTGTTGGACAAGTTACGGGAGACAACGATTACTTGTAACGGGATTTTTTCCCTCGTTGTGAGAGATACAGAGACGAAGGAATGTACGGAACAAAGCAAAGGCGAATAAAGGCGGCGCAAAGAGATGGCGAGAGGGTGACGAAAGGAAAGGCGATACGCTCCGTGCTTGATTTTCCTTGCGTAGTTACAAGAATTTTTGGAAATACTGCTGTAATATACCAACAGCTAGAACACTTGTATAGTACCCGAAAAAGTACATTCATGAGCACCGTTAAAAAGGATAAATCATCAGGATTATGATAATAACACTATTTACAACAAAAAAAATCTATTTAGAAACAGTAACATCAATATAATAATGAAGCTTCTTTATACAACACATCTAAGTCAAACTTCCGATAGCCAGCTTTTGACAATATGACACAGGAGTAAGAAAATTCAAAGCCAGTCTGATAAGAAGCGCGCGCGCGGCGCTGGAATCTGAAAAAGGGAGGAGGCGAAGAGGAGGCCATTTGGCTCTACTGGGCACGCTTGCTGACGCCGTGACAACCATTGTGACGAAAATAATAATGTCAAAAATAACGTCAGTAATAAAATCAACAGCAAATAAATACGATAATAACTAAACAAATACCAATAGTAATGATACCATAACAATCATAACGGAAATAAAATAATAAAATAAACTAGTCAATTATAATCATAAAAAACGTCTATAAATAAAGTCTAAAAAACATCATACAAATATAGAAGAAAATGTTAAGCTAATAATACTGAATTACAAAACAATCAAAACGCACAAACCCCAACGGTTTGTTTACTTCATAAATTACGAATCTTTCCAAAATTACACAACATTGTCCCTTCATCAAACCTGGTCCGAAATTCTACTCCCTCTCCATTCCTCTCCACGAAGCTACCCCCTTTCTGACCCGAAATATACGTCAGTCCACTGCCCCGGACCACTACTAAAATTTCCTCCCTCGGCCCCGGCCCATAGGCAACCTAGCCTTAAAATTTGGTCCCGATCGCCTTGGTAATTGGCCATGTAATCCTTAGCCACAAATCACACGTCTACCCTTTACTCATAACTTTTCCTCTGATCTACACTGATCTACTCCAAACACCCTGTCTTTATCACAAACCCTTTCTTAATCAATCCAACATCTACTCATCTACCTGGATCACTAAAATCTAAACGATACAGCCCGACGGAAACTTTTCCCGTAACCCTGCTAACAAACCAAGTCACCAGCACTTGCAGCCAATTACAAAATCTCCTCCGATCGACAGAGATAACAACAACAACATTAAGAATGTTACGGCAGACTCACCCGTCCTGTAGCCGGCGTCGTTGAGGTAGGTGGCGAAGGAGCGGCGTTCGTGCGTCTGCTGCCACATGGTCGAGGAGCAGTTCTCGTTATTGGTGTACAC